TTTAATTTCGTATATACCTTGTGATCTTCCTCCTTTCTCGTTGACATCCATTTCTGATAAGCAGTTTTCTTCTTGTTTACTAACGTTTGCATATTCTTCGACCACCATTCTTGATTTTTTGTTTCATGTTTGTCTTTATACCCCAAAGCTTCACATGCAGCCTCATGAATGTACTTTTTAAGTTGTTGGTATAATTCTTCCGCTCTTATATTTTCTCGATCCACATTTTGTAATTTTGTGGCCAGTCGTAATTTGTAAAGAAATTTTGTTGAATCTTCTTTTAAGCTTTCTAGGTTATATTTAGGAGATGTTACTTTTTGTCCCTTTTCTATATTCTGTACCTGAGTGTTATTGTTTTTGCGATAGTTAACTATCACATTGGCCATAAGTAAATGATGGTCGGATCCACATTCTGATCCACGGTATACCCTTACGTCAGTTGTTTTCAGCTGGGAAGTTTGACGTTGGATTACAAAGTCGATTATCGAGCGCAGATTCCTAGTAGGTTGTATCCATGTAAATTTGTGGATGTCTCTATGTTGAAAAAATCCATTCATAATTTTGAGAGACATTATTTCACAAAAATCTCTAAGACGCATTCCGTTGTCATTGGTTATTTGTTCTCCATATCTTCCTACGACTCTGCTATTTTCTTCTGTCCCTACTCTGCCGTTTAAATCTCCTAGTATAAAGATTTCACAGTTTTCTTTAACTTCAGAGAGTATTTCATTCATATTGTCGTAGAAATCGTCTTTACTTTCTGGATTTGCATCTTCGTTTGGGGCATATATTCCGACAATTACGATATTGTGCCCATTCTTTTTCATTTCCAGTATTAGTAGTTGTTCATTTACTTCAGTCCACGATTTAATGTTGTTTTTAAGATTTTTTCGAATGGCAATAGAGACTCCCCTCTTAGCTCTGTTATCTTTACTTACTCCGCTGTAGATATGTATATATTCTCCTATCTCTTTATTTCCTTTTCCCTTTTTCTTGGTTTCTGTGAGAACACATATATCTATTTTTCTTTCCGCTAATTCTTAATTATTCCGGAAAATAATAATACCGTACATAAAAGGATTATCACAAAAACTTAAAAGGATAGGAAATAAATTCAACATTTCTACAACATTCAAAACAACAAAACACGTTGAAATCTATTTTGTCCAAAACCAAACCTAACAATGAACAAAAAAGGACAAAGAATTGCATTTATAAAATACCTTGTGAATGCAATCAGTTTATTTGGGTGAAACTTCAATGCCATTAAATGTTAGAATAAGTGAACATCAATCTTATTATTGTTCTGAAGCTATTTTCTTGTGGCATTGTAAATTAATTACTATTTATAACTGAGAATAAGCCACAATTAAAGATAAAAATACATTTATTGACGTTTCAATTTCCAATTCGGAAATCGTTCTCAAAATACAAACAGTAAATTAAACAAATTTTGTTTTTTGTTACATAGTGAAAAAATTCTTCTAATAATTTAATTTTATCTGACTCATTTATATTGACAATTCAGACATACATTATGCATTTTAAAGTAGACGACTTTAAAATGATATTGCCAATATTGTTGAGTTGCGCTCCTGGGACGACTTTACTTATAATATAGTTCATTCGATTACATGAAATCAACTTTAACTTGAGAATATCCGTCAGAAAATGAATGATATATAATGAAATATCCGTCAAAAAAATCTAACAATGAACAAGAAAGGACAAAGAATTGCATTTATAAAATACCTTGTGAATGCGATCAGTTTTATTTAGGTGAATCATCAAGGCCATTAAATGTTAGAATAAGTGAACATCAATCTTATATTAAAAATAGAGAATTTGATAGATCTCAAATATGTAAACACGCATGCGATAATGAACATAGGGTTCAATGGAATAATTCAAATATAGTCCTAAAAGAAACGGATGGCAAAAAAAGAAAAATCAAAGAAGCGGCTCTAATTATGCTAAATGAGGCCAATTGTGTCGCAAATTCCTCGGCAGAATGTAGTAGGATCTGGTTACCAATATTGAAAGAGGAAGTTATTAATAAGAAAATACCAGTTTTAGTAAGTCAGTAACATATAGCGGATACATCATTTATGTTTTTTAAATAACGTAACATATAAAATCAGAATTTTGATGTTTGTTGAAGGTAAACTAAATTCACGAACAAATACTTACAATGTCGGGATAGTATTATGAGGTTTTGTTTCCTGGTTTTCCCTCATAATTTACTATGGAATCACTAACAGGAGAATTTTACTGTAATCATGTCATGTGTTTGTCTTTTTAAAGACGAATTACATGGTATGATTTTTTCTGACGGATATTCTCAAGTTAAAGTTGATTTCATGTAATCGAATGAACTATCTTATAAGTAAAGTCGTCCCAGGAGCGCAACTCAACAATATTGGCATTATCATTTTAAAGTCGTCTACTTTAAAATGCATAATGTATATCTGAATTGTCAATATAAATGAGTCAGATAAAATTAAATTATTAGAAGAATTTTTTCACTATGTAACAAAAAAAAAATTATTTAATTTACTGTTTGTATTTTGAGAACGATTTCCGAATTGGAAATTGAAACGTCAATAAACGTATTTTTATCTTTAATTGTGGCTTATTCCCAGTTATAAATAGTAATAAATCTTATATTAAAAATAGAGAATTTAATAGATCTCAAGTATGTAAACACGCATGGGATAATGAACATAGGGTTCAATGGAATGATTCAAATCTAGTCCTAAAAGAAACGGATGGTAAAAAACGAAAAATCAAAGAAGCGACTCTAATTATGCTAAATGAGACCAATTGTGTCGCAAATTCCTGGGCAGAATGTAGTAGGATCTGGTTACCCATATTGAAAGAGGAGTTATTAAAAAGAAAATACAAGTATTAGTAAGTTAGTAATATATAGAGGATTCATCATTTATGTTTTTTAAATAACAAACATATAAAATCAGAATTTGGTGTTTATTGAAGGTAAACTACATACACGACCAAATACTTACAATGTCGGGATAGTATTATGAAGTTTTTTTTCCTGGTTTTTCCCTAATAATTTACTATGCAATCACTAATAGGAAAATTTTACTATCCGCATGGCATGTGTTTGTCTTTTTAAAGACGAATTACATGCTATGATTTTTTCTGACGGATATTCTCAAGTTAAAGTTGATTTCATGTAATCGAATGAACTATCTTACAAGTAAAGTCGACACAGGAGTGCAACTCAACAATATTGGCAATATTATTTTAAAGTCATTTTAAAATGTATAATGTATGTCTGAATTGTCAGTATAAATAAGTCGGATAAAATTAAATTATTAGAAGAATTTTTCACTAAGTAACAAAAAAACAAAATTTGGTTAATTTATTAATGATTATATTTTGAGAACGATTTCCGAAGTATAAATTGAAACGTCAATAAACTTCCTTTAACCTGTAATTGTGGCTTATTCCCATTTAAATAGTAATTAAATGTTTTTAGATCAATAAATAATTTTATTCAAGGGCCCGCGTAGCGCAAGCGGTAGTGTGCTTGCCTCGCATGCCGGTGGTCGTGAGTTCGAATCCTACCGCCGGCAAGAACAACTAAGGCATTTTTAAAAATGTCTATAGGCCCCAGGTCGACTCAGCCTGAATAAAATGAGTACCTTGGGTAAAACCAGGGGTAATAATAGGCGGTTGAAGCGTAGCACTGGCCATGTTACCTTCCTTGTATACCGTAGGCCCTAGATATAGCAGACTACCCTGCTATACTCCCAAAGCCGCGTGCGGTATAAAACGGGAGACTATTATTATTATAATAATTTTTATTCTACTCTAATATTAAGAAACAATATCTAACTATATAATTTATATCTAAGAATATAATCTATCTTTTCATATCTAACCCTAAATAATATACTAGATCAAAGGCCTTGTACTCTTAACAACTCTTCCTGTTAGGTCTCTGTTGTACAGTGCATAAATAGTTTCAATATTGGTATGGTTCCTTTCATTTTTAAGTGTACCAAGGAGCATTTACTACATTATTAAGGACTTTATTATGAAGTCGTTGAGTAATGACATTATTTCTATAGAGTATCTCCAGAGTTTTACATCATAAGTACACACTGGTTTAGTGTTGCCCAAAATCGGTCTCGGTCTTGCAGTCTTGGTGTTGTTGTGTTTCTCAAAAATAACGAGACAAATTAATAACAGATAATATCGCCTACCGTGTAAACAAATACCGAAATATTTAGAATAAAGAAATAATGATATATAATTCTCGGTATGTTATTCCGTACTTAGGGTATTGGATAGTACACTGGCGCACCCAGGATTTTCAGAAAGGTTTTAGTTAGGAAGCGAAATTTTTTATACAACCTCCATTTTAAGCCCTTAGAATTTGTCAATCAAAAAAATATGTTCCAGTTCAGTACATACATCCAAAGTAACTTTTTTAAAGACCTATCAAAAATAAAGTATTACTTCAAGTTCTATTAAAATGGGCATTAGTATAGGTATATTAATATCTATAGAAACATTTATTGTTATCCATAGAAACATTTACTCTGCTGTTATAATTTTGATATATTAATTTTCTGCTGTTATTAATATTAATTCTTTTTATTTATATAACTAGAATTGCATCAAATCAAAAATTTAAATTTAATTTTAAAGTTTAACTTGCTGTCATTAATTTTGTCAATTTGGCATTTTGACAACTTGTCTTAGGCTAACGTCACAAGAACATGCGCGTTGACTTATCTTGTTTTGTTATAGTATCATGACCGTATACTATGATTATATTACAGACGCTAATAACATAAAGCGGAAATAGGCAATTTGGCACATTCGCGGTTTTGGAATTGGACCGACGATATGTAATTTTAATTATATATTTTAATTTATTTACAAAAAAAATACAATACGTATTTACTTTTATGAGTTGTATTGTATCGAAAATCGACAAATTATATTAATTATAATTATTAATTTAGGTATTGGAACATGACGGATATATTATACTGCCTTATCAAATAGATAAAGTAGTACAGTTGTATGAAACTATGATGACCAGACATTCAACAATGGTAATAGGCCCTACGGGTGGAGGCAAAACAGTGGTAATTCAAGCTCTCGCAAAAGCTCAAACACATTTAGGTCTGGTTACTAAGCTACGTATTTTAAACCCCAAAGCTTGTTCTGTGATAGAACTCTACGGAATTTTAGATCCAACGACACGAGATTGGACAGATGGGTTGTTATCTTGTATTTTTAGAGAAATAAATAAGCCAACTGACAAAGAGGAGCGAAGGTAAATATCCACTTCAGTTCGTTTCAATTAACTCTGTTAAAACTTTATCTAGGTGTATTTTGGTCAGTCTGAATGTACACTATGTTATTAATAATTTTAGTATTAAAGGTTAGGATATGTAGAACATTTAAAGATAATATTATATAGTGTATCTATTGTTTATTTTTTAACCAGGAGAAGTAAACTAAAAAGACAGATTCACAACTAAGAAAGTTATTAGAAAAGTCACCAAATACATATTCTTTTTTAGTTGATTATCTCGGCCTTGCGGTAACCCAGGAATCAGTATCGGGCAACCTCACATGTCGATTCTACCCTAGCTTTGTTTGTTTATGTTTGAATAATAATTTTTTTCAATTCAATTCCAATATATATTTTTTTTCTAACTAAAATAAAAAAAAATGTTGGATTGTTATGAAGAAGTTGAAGAATTTTCAGAGTATATTTATAACATTGTAGAAAGAATCGTCTTTATATTATTATCATTATTTATATTATATATATATATATATATATATATATATATATATATATATATATATATATATATCGGAAAAAGGAGTACGACCGTCAATCCAATATATATATATATATATATATATATATATATATATATATATATATATATATATATATATATATATATATAAGGATCACTCAGACGAGTGGTGGGTTCTTATATCGGTCTCTAGGTGGAGAAATAAAAGACAAAGTTGATAGGCTACTTTATCTATTTTATCTATTTTGAAGACGTTTCGCTTTCGAGTTTTGAAAGCATCATCAGTTCATCTAAAAATTGTGTAGTTCTTATATTGTAAAATTTTTTAGATGAACTGATGATGCTTTCAAAACTCGAAAGCGAAACGTCTTCAAAATAGATAAAGTAGCCTATCAACTTTGTCTTTTATTTCTCCACCTAGAGACCGATATAAGAACCCACCACTCGTCTGAGTGATCCTTATATATATATATATATATATATATATATATATATATATATATATATATATATATATATATATATATATATATATATATATATGTATATATATATATGTAAATATATATATATATATATATATATATATATAATAATATATATATATATATATATATATATATATATATATATATTATATATATATATATATATATATATATATATATATAATGAACCAGAAGTATTTGCTGACCACGTAAGGAAGTAAACTTTAAATATTGGGTATGCAGCAATAAAAATGAAAGGTGTACTCTTTTAACTCAACAGACTGTGATAAATTTTATCAAAAATTTTTATAAAATTATTTATGATACAACCTCATTAAGTTTCTCCCTGATGAAGGACATAACCAATGTCCGAAAGCTTGGAATAAAAATTTAAAAGAGTACACCTTTCATTTTTATTGCTGCATACCCAATATTTAAAGTTTACTTCTTTATATATATATATATATATATATATATATATATATATATATATATATATATATATATGTGAAAACTAAAGCTAAGATTAATACAATTACAAAAATTAATATTAAACTCATCAGTCTTTCGGGTTGAACAGCGTCGATATCCATTGGGACGAGCTTTCGACATCCTCTCTGATGTCTTCCTCAGGGCTTCCGAGGTCTGTCTTCCGAGCCCCCAGACACTACTACACTTGTCACTGATCACTTCACTATTACTGATCAGTACATTTGTTTTCAGCTTGTACTTTACACATTTGTTCCTTTCATCTTTCTCGAAGTTCTTTTCTTTCTGCATCATATATTTTAACCACCTCTTCCTCTAAGAGTTCTCTGATTCGAATGTCTTCTTTATTTTTCATTTTTACGCCAACCAATACTTCGAAATGTGTAATATCTTTACTTCGTTTATAGGTTGAGTTCAATGCATTTTGTACTCTATCAATATTTTTATACCATTTTGTAGGTTCGTCCAAACTTAATTTCGTTAGAACAGGGATAATTGTTCTATTCACTCGTTCAACCTGATCGTTTCCTCTTGGTACTCCAGTTATAACTGAAACATGTTGAATGTTTTCTTCCTGGCAATATCTTTCAAATTCCTCTGATCGAAATGCTGTACCTCGGTCGGTTATCATTCGAGAAGGGTTTCTAAATATTCTTCGTTGCTTTTCAAGACTTATAACTTTTTTCGTCGTTGTTGATTTTGTTGGGTGAAGCCAAACAAATTTGGTAAAATCGTCTATAATTACAAGTATATGCTGATAATTCTTACTTGTAGACTACAATGGACCTAAATGATCTACATGATATGTGTGCAGTGGACCATCTAGTTTTGGTATGGGGTTAAGTTTTCCTTCATTTTTCCCTCCTTTTTGCTTCCCAGTATACATGCTATACAGTTAGAAATAACAGTTTTAACTTTTTCTTATACCTTTGGTATTTTCCTCAGTTTTTTTCTCAGAAAAATGTCCTAAATCGTGACTTCTTCTTATGCTCTCAGTCGGCATATTTCTCGGTACAACTAACAGTTTTAATTCACTCACATACTTGTATAAAATTTCGTGCTTTAAGTAAAAATCTTCATATGCTTCTGTCAAAAGTATTTGTTTTATCGCCTTGATGTGCTCATCTTTATCTTGAGCTAGTTTAATTCTTTGTATTACACCATTTTTTTCTGTAACCGTTAAAACTTTTGGATTCCGGCTAAGAGTATCTACGTGATACATCTGAGCACCTTTTCTATGCTCAATTTCATACTGATGCTCCTCTAGCATCAGTGCCCATCGTGCAACTCTTGTTGTAAGGTCCTTCTTTTCCATAGTTCTTTTAAAGGCGTCATAATCTGTAACAATTTTGAATTTGTTCCCAAGTAAATATATTGTTACGAACATGCAGCGTGTAGCGGTTGCATCTCGAAAGCGACTCGAAGTTCTAGAAAAACCAGTCACGTAGGCGAATTAGAGGTGGGAATGTTCTAGAACATAGTAATTTTGGTATATATATGTAACGATGTTAAGAGTTAGTTTAGTTAATAAGAGAGTACCGAACTGTAAAGTTATAAATAAATATATTTATATAAATTCTAACCGCTCGTTTTGTTTAAAAACCGTACAATACTCTAAACTTCTTCACCGCTTTTATAATGGCGAGTACTTTTAGCTCGTAACTGGTGTATTTTTCTTCTGCAGGTGTGGTTTTTTTGCTCATAAAATATATTGGGTGGAGCTTGGAATCGTCAATAGATCGCTGTAGGAAACATGCTCCATAACCATGCTGGCTTGCATCAGTGTGAAGTTCTGTATAAGCACCTTGTCGATAAATGTGTAACACCGGTTAACTTATTAGTTTTTTCTTTAGTGTTTCAAAAGCTTTCTTTTGCTTATCGTCAAACCTAAATTCTTTACCTTTTCTTAATAAGTCACTTAACGGTTTTGCATATCTGGCTATAAATTTTCGAAAATAACCTGTAAGACCTAAGTAAGATTGAACTTGTTTCTGAGTTTTAGGCTCAGGAAATTTCTTTCTTGCGATAACCTTCGCATCACCTGGTTGAATTTTTCCGTCTTCCACAATAAATCCAAAAAATTCTTCCCTTTTCTGCAGCAATTGGCATTTCTTCTTTTTAATTTCCAGTCCATATTCTTGTGCTAATTTCAATACTAATTTTAATCTATATATCGCTTCTTCTATATCAGCGCTCAGAATGATAATATCGTCCATATAATAAATTACATATTTTTGAGCCGTCAATTCTCTAAAAATGTGAGCATTAAACCTCTGAAATAACAGTCTAACTGGACACTTAAGGAATTCAAACTGTCCGCTGGGCGTCACGAACGAAGTGTACTTAGTATTACTAGATTCTACGGGAACACGAAAGAATCCGTTTTTTAAATCAATCGAGCAAAAAATTTTTGCACCTTCTAAACAGTCAAGCACGTCTTCAACGAGGGGAAGTGAAAATCTGTCTCTTATTATATTTTTGTTTACTTTTCTATAATCGCAGCACATTCTTGTCCGACCGTCCTTCTTTTTTACAAATACTATTGGGCTAGCAAAATCCGAACAAATAGGTTTAATTATACCTTCGTTTAACCATTCATTTATCTGTCTGTCTATCTCTTCTCTTTCAGGAACAGATAATCGTCTGGGTCTTTCATAAATTGGTTCCTCGTTTTTTAGGACAATTTTCATTTCAATTTCTGTCGTCTTCGTTTTCTTTGGTTCATAACTTTCCATTAACCTAACAATTTCTCTGTTTTTCGTCTTCGTCTTCAATGTGTGCTACTTTTACTTCATCTTCTTTATCTTTTTCGTCAAGCATAATGTGCATAATAAAATTTTCGTCCGTCCTCTTGTACATTACTATCCCATCATCTCTTATACTGACAGATGCTTGTTGTAAAATATTATTTTCAATTATTGCTTGAAAAGATGTCGCACCTTTTGGGATAATATGAAATTGTAGATCAAACTTCTCTTCGTTAATGTCAGCTTGTGTAGAGCATGATCCCAATGTTTTAACTTTCGCATTTGTCCTAAGCCTTTCAAAATTATGGTGTTGGGTGTAAAACAAATATGGCTAAAGAATTTATCGTACAAATCTTCTCTTATCGTACATATATCACTTCTGGTGTCAAATAAAGCTGTTAGTGTGATCTGATTAATTGTAAGCTTAATCGCCATTTTTGGCTGAACTTCAATTACATTTAAAACTGTGTTTTCTGTGATAGCCTTCGTCGAATTTTTATTAGGACATTTACTTGAAACATGCCCATATTTGTTGCAACCAAAGCACTTCGTTCCCTTAGACTTATCTGGGCAATTCTTAAATTTATGGCATCTACTTTCACAATTAAAACAAGCAAGGTTGTTTCCTCTTTTCACGTCGTTCTTCTCTCTTTTTTCCTTTCTAACGATGTCTTCGTTTTTCTTAAATCCTTCTTTATTTGCTCTAAAACCTTGAGCTTGTCCAGTAGTTTTCTTTCCGTGTATCCTTTCATACAGTTTAATTTTCTCCTTAAACTCTGCGCAAAACTTTTTGCTCCATATAGCACTAGTTTATTGGATGATTCGTCTTGTATACCATCAATTATGTATTGTATAACAACTTTTTCTTCTAAGTAAGATCTATTAGCTATTTCCCTTATTTTGATCATGTAGTCTTGTACAGTCTCTTCAAATTTTTTTCGTCTCGTCATCAACATCTTATGTATCTGCGCACTATTTGTGCACCGAATTCTTCTATTAAACGTCTCTTTAATTCGGCCAACTTCTGATGCCTTTTTTTGACTACACAAACAATTTGGCGAGCCCTTTTAAACATTTTTTTGCATAGATTAATTTTTGTAGGTTGTTCCACCCTGTTATCTCAGCTACTTCTTTAAATTCGGTAATCCACCTGCGAATAGGATATTCGTCTTTTCCATTAAATGATCTCATGCTGTCCTCCACGTCTCTAAAACTTAATGCAAATGATTGCTGTCGTCTTATACCAGTCGCTCCAGTATTCACGAATCTAACTTCAGCGTCATTGCTTGCGCTATATTTTTTTTCTCCAATTTCTTCATGTATGTAAATATCTTCGTCATCTCCTCTTTCTTCATATCTTCGTCTTTCTTCGTCATTACTTTGTTTATATCTATATCTACGTCTTTAATCGCGTATTTGTCGTCCTTCGTCATAATTTCGCCCTTCGCGTCTTCGTCTATCCTCGTCGTTTCTTCTCTCACGTCTTCGTCTTTCTATTTCTTTAAGTATTTCGTCTTCCGTAAGTCTTTCATTGTCTTCCCGTCTTTCTTATTCCAATCGTCGTTTTTCTTTTTCACGTCTTTCGTAATCGTTCCGTCATTCTTCTTTCAATCGTTTTTCTTTTTCACGTCTTTCGTCATCTTTTCGTCTTTCTACTTCCAATTGTCCTTTTTCGTCTTCCAGTTGCCTTTTTTTGTCTTCCAGTTCTCTTTTTTTGTCTTCCAGTTGTCTTTTTTCTTCCTTTCGTGTTTCGTCGTCTTCATCTATATCTGATAGGTCATCCTCCTCTTCGTCGTTTTCAGTTTCGTCGTCATTAATGAAGTTATTCAAAAGGGAACAAATACGGACAACCACGTCATGCTTTTCATTTTTATAATTTAAACCAAAAATTTGACATTCCGCAATTAAATCAAAATTTTTGGTCTTTGACATTAAAAAATATTTGGTCTAAAATGTTACCTTCAAATATTTGCCACACCTATGGGTTCCTCAATCTCTCCTTTTCTTCTTATGGTGCCCTATCCAATTAGTGAATGTTGGCGACAATTCTGGAATACTCCTCTCGATCTTGTGTGGCTCTAAAAAGTGCATGGGCATCTAGATTTGTCCAATCCCGTATGTTTTTAAGCCATGAGTATTTCTTTCTTTCGATACCTCGTTTTCCTTCTATCTTCCCTTCCATAATAAGCTTTAAGAACTGGTACTTAGAATTTCGAAATATATGACCCAGATAAGCAGTTTTCTTTTTTTTATTATTGGCAGCAATTCTCGTTCTCTGCCCATTCGATTTAATACTTCGACATTTGTTGTGTGATCTGTCCAGGGAATTTTAAGTAGTCTTCTAAATACCCACATTTCAAAGCCTTCCAATCAGTTCATTACATTGGCCTTTATGGTCCAGGTTTCTACACCATATAGCAGTATGGAGTAAATGTAACATTTTACAAAGCGATATCGAAGCATTAAGTTGAGGCTGCTGTTGCTTAGCAAGGTTCTCATATTAGTAAATGCTGTTCTGGCTTGCTCAATCCTGCTATGTATCTCTATGTCTGGATCTAGATCTTAAGTTATCCAACTACCGAGATATCTGAACTTGGGGACCTTTTGGATGTTCCTGTTGTTTACTCTTATAGTCAATTGCATATTTCGTGTTCTACTAACCACCATTACCTTCGTCTTGTCTATATTAATCTTCAAGCCCAGTCGTTCTCCTTCAGTGTTTATTCTATCTATTAGTCGTTGTAGCGCGTCTTGGCTATCAGCTATTATGACTGTATCATCAGTATAGCGAAGATTACTAATAGTCTGTGCGTTGATTTTGATTCCATCTTCAGTGTCACTTACGGCTCTATCGAAAATAGTTTCAGAGTAAAGATTAAAAAAGAGGTGTGACAGAACACAACCCTGTCGTACACCTTTTTCTATTGAGAAATATGATGTAGATTCCAGTCCTACTCTCACAGATGCCACTTGATTCATATAAAGGTTCTTTATGATTTTAAGGTCATTCTCATCTATCGAACGTTCCTGGAGCAATCTTATTAATTCTGACTGATTAACACGATCGAATGCTTTCTGGTAATCTATAAAACATAGGAAGACATCTTTTTGCTGATCTCTGCATTTCTAAAGTACGACAGTTAAGCTATAAAGTGCTTCTCTTGTGCCAAATCCTTGTCTGAAACCGAACTGTGTGGTGCTAATGTCTCTTTCACATCTGTTGTATATTCTTGTGTGAATTATCTTGAAGAAGAGTTTTAGGACCTGGCTCAATAAGCTGATCATTCGGAATTGATCGCAACTATTAGCGTTTGGCTTTTTTTAAAATTTGGTATAAAGGTTGATTGAAGCCAGTCCTGTGGTATTTGACCGGACCCATAAATGTCATTAAAAAGATTTACTAAGGTGTCCAAATTGTCTTCACTCAACATTGTTAAAACCTCTATGTATATGTCGTCTGGGCCTGGTACTTTTCTCCATTTGCTCTGTTTGATTGCCCTTACAACTTCTGACTTCAATATTTTGGGGGAGGCTTCACTTCTATACCCACTTTTAGAGTTTCTTCTAGTTGTGTCTGAGTATAGTTGCTGTGTGTAGTTTCTCCAATGTTTAAGTAGATCTTTGGGATCAGTAATTAATTTATTGTCCTTTACAATACTGTTAAAACTGCAAGGTTTTGTATGACCTGTAACTTCTTTAATAAGTTTATGTATGTTAAAATGGTCATGTTTTTCTTCCAATTTCTCCATTTCTGCATACCTGTCTAGCAGCCACTGTTCTTTAGCTTTGCGACACTCTTTTTGTATTTGTCGGTTGATCTGCTGATGTTTGGTTCTATCTTTGTTTTTAAATGATCTGCGGTCATCCATCATTGATAATATTTCGTCAGTCATCCAATTCTTCTTTTTGTACTTTTGGGAAGCGATCAGAGACTTGGTGGTGGTTAAGATAGCTGTTTTAATACAATTCCATTTGTCTTCTATACTGGCCGGTTGTTTAGATCTTGTCGTGATATCCGCTATTGCCTCATTTAATCTTTTTGTGACTTTGAGTTTAACGTTAGGTTGTTTTAAGCTGTTTATATCAATTTGCTTTATGAATTTTCTTTTAATTTTCTTAAGCTTAATTTTTAATTTTTCTACTACGAGATTGTGATCAGATCCGATATCTGTTCCAGGGTACGTTTTTACTCCTTGCAATCCATTTCTGTATCTCTGATTAATCAATAAAAAATCAATTTGATTTCTTACGGTGTTGTCAGGTGTATGGTGTGGAGACTGCCAGGTGTAGAGTCTCCGAGGTGGCAGTTTGTACCAGGTATTCGCAATGACTAATTTTTCTTCTTGACAGAACTGGATTAGCATATCACTTCTCTCGTTTCGATCTCCCAAACCAAAGTCACCCACGACATCTTCAACACGCCCTCGCCCTACGTTTGCATTCTAATCTCCCATGATTATAAGAGTCTGGTTCTTCTTGATCAGTTTCATTAACTCCTTAATCTCTCTGTACAATTGTTTTACTTCATTTTCAGGCTTGTCCAAGGTTGGCGCATAGATTTGTATAATATTAAGGTCAACAGGATCGGCTTGGACTTGTAGTAGTGCTGCCCTATCTGAGTATGCTGATCAATCTCTTCGATTCTAGTAAATTTTATACTAGATGATTTAGTATCTGACCGTTTGGATCTTTTAGATTTCCAAATCACTTTTATTAAGCGGTATGTTGATGACTTATTATTAGACTTACCCCCAGACAAGATACAGGCCACCTTGTCTTAGTTCAATGAGTTTGATCCTCATTTACAGTTCACTGTTCAACTTGAGGACCCCATCACAAATAGCATTTTTTTCTTAGACGTGCGTGTCATTAGAATGGGAGATAACACCTTAACCACAAGTTGGTATAGGAAACCGATGGCCTCAACTACCATTCTTGTCATCCTTTCAAATATAAATTAAACCTAATTAAAGCTTTAAGCTGCAGGCTAAATAGACTAACACATCCGGTTAATCGAAGGGAATCCCTTCAATTACTTAGAAATATTCTAATTGAGAATGCCTATCCATTTTCTCTCATTAATAAATACCTTTATGTACAAAGCTATGGTTCCTCTTTGAATGACATACCCAAAGGTGACCAACTTGGAATAATATCAAATAATTCCATTAATGACACTGTTCTGCCTGGTACTGCACTTGGGACTCCTACCACCCATTTCTCATCTCTACCTTATTTTTCTCAAGTTACTGAAAAACTTATTAAACTGTACAAACAGAATAATGTACCTGTTAAAATTGCAGTTAAGACTGTTTTCAAAAGAGAAATTTGTTTTCAAAAACTAAAACACCCTTGTCCCTTCTGGAACAAGTTAAAGTCATACATCATATTCCTTGTGCTGAGTGTGCTGGGAGATCCCTGAGAGGGCGTCTTACGACACACCGCAGTGATATTAACTTATCCAAGCATACTTGTGTTCTTGCCCAGCATGCTATTAACACTAAACACAAAGTAGACTTTAATGAAGTTAAGATTCTTGGCTCTGAACACAATCCCGTTAAAATGCAGTTTTAAGAAATTTGTTCAATACTTAAACACTAAGTTTGCTGTGCTAAGTTTGAAAAAATTGTTAACAGTATTTAGTTTAATTTATTGTTTATACAACATAATCTTATAATGGCCATTGTCATAAGCTTCTTTACAATTTTAATATCATTGACTACTACATATCTTTTTGATGTAACACACTTAATAACTTTTCTATGGATGTTTGGTTTTTGTGGAACAATGGTAGAGTTCCAATTAAAATAGAATGCAATCTTTTACTTTCATGAAAACGTCTTTCTCTACGTAAAGAGCTAAAAAGATAGTATTTTTGAAAGATGAATCGTAGATGCATGTCAAAGTAAAAGGATACTTCTAGCGTCGTTTAAAATCCTCTAGTAAGAGGCTTTAAATTTGCGGTTCACCTAATTGGCTATCAGTGAGAGGTCTCTCGACTTCTTGATACTTCGTATAGATGTCGCTGCTAGCGCACCAGGCTGTTATATTCTATGAATTGATTTTTTACGTCCCACAATTTTTATAATACAAGCACTTTAACTTCAATAATCTACTGCCCACTTTTCTAATTTTCAGATACATTGTATTTGATGGAGATGTAGACGCCCTTTGGATTGAAAACATGAACTCTGTAATGGATGACAATAAACTTTTAACTTTAGCGAATGGTGAACGTATTCGTCTTCAAACTCCAATCTGTGCGCTCCTATTTGAAATGGGAGATTTGCAGTATGCCTCTCCTGCTACTGTATCTAGAGCTGGTATGGTCTATGTAGATCCCAAAAATGTAGGATATCAACCATATTGGGATAAGTGGGTGAAATCTCGCACGTGGGAGGCGGAAAGAGAGGCTATGCAAGAATTGTATGAAAAATTTGTACCGGAGTTATTGGCATACATATTGGAAGGTGTCTTAGGCACTAGACAGGTATATATATATGTATATATATATATATATATATATATATATATATATATATATATATATATATATATATATATATAAGAGTAAAAAAAAAGAAGTACTTGTGACTCGTTTGGAAAAAATATAACACTGTTTTTATGGTTGGAGTCAATAAATGGGGCTATTTGTTGACTATTTTTTACTCGAGCTTTCAATTGTGATTACAATTTTTATCAAGAGCTTCTAAAAAATACAAAATGTCTTACAAAGTTGAACTAGAAATAAAAAATTTTTTGTTAACTCACCAAATAAAATTAGTTTTTTTATATAAAACTACTGCTTACATATTAAATACAAAAAATATTAATAAAAAAATGTCTTATTCTAATAAATGTTTCTCTGAAAAATTTAGATGAAGTTTCTTAAGAAAAAAAATTGAATTTATAAACAAAAATAGAAGAGCTACAACCAGCCTAAATGTCATACATACTAACTTAAAAATTTTTATTTTTGACATATTGTCAAAAATAAAATTTTGTTTAAAAAATTCTTCTTTGTTTAGTAACAAAAAAGGAGAAGATTTATTCACCATTGATAGATGCCCGAAAAAATGTAACAAATACATGGAAAATTCAAAATGTGATATTTTACTGACTGCATAAATTAAATATATATATATATATATTATATATATATATATATATATATATATATATATATGTAAATACTTTTTTCTTTTTGGGTGTGGTAGTCAATAAAAAATAGAGCTTTGCTAAGGCGTACTATTTATTCTGAATTCCGAGCTTTCGGTGGTTATTTGCCACCTTTATCAAGGTCTACAATGAAAATTACTGTGTTATAACATTAGGCTGATGTAATATAAAAGTTATAAAAACTTACCAGAAAGTAAGATTCATAGCATATAAAACACAACGTTAAATAACATGATGTGATCTGAATTATGAATTATGAAAGTATTTACATATATTTTTTCCAAACTAGTCAAAAAACTTTGGACTACCTTATATATATATATATATATATATATATATATATATATATATATATATATATATATATATCTTTTCTTTTTTTTATATATTATTATTATAAATTTCTTTTCTTTTCTGTATATATATATATATATATATATATATATATATATATATATATTTATATGTATATATATACACATACAACACAGTTTATTAGGGTTGCAGTCAGAATATTGGCCGGAATGTTAAAAAAACACTCTTTTGACTTTTTGTCTAGCTTTCGGAATGGTTTTATTCCTTTTTCATGACACTGTAATAAAACAAATATGTAAATATATAAAAAATATGATATAGAAATAAAAAAAATCAATGCATGTGCATTGACATAACATGCATTAACTCTGAAACATGAATTCAATTTCGATGATTCCTGTATTTTGGCAAAAAAAAGAACCATTCAAAACGTGTTTTTTTGGAAATGTGTTTCATAAAATCCATAACATCTTGCATCAATAAAAAGTCTGACATAGATAAGTTTAAAAAGTATAATCACCTAAGATGGGCCTCTAGTATTTCTTTAAAAGAAAGATAACATCAAGTAGACCTAATTAGATGTTCATTACAGTGTTTTTACTTTCTGTTTTCTATGCATATGAGTTAAAACACACCAGTAAAATATACCATAAACTAAATTTTTCTATATTTACCCAAAATTTTAAAAATTTTAGAATGTATTTTGTTCATGATTTTATATTTTAATGTGTGTTATCAATGTTGAGTGTCAATGCTTTTATAAATAATCTCAACGACCAGTAAGTTACACTGAAGTATCGATATTTTTTAAATATTTACATATTTGTCTTATTACAGTGTCTTGAAAAAGAAATAAAACCATTCCGAAAGCTAGACAAAAATTAAAAGAGTGTTTTTTTAACATCCTGGCCAATATTCTGACTGCAACCCTAAACTCTGTTGTTTGTTTATATCGACAGTCACTAATATCCAGTATTTCTTATATACACATAGGTATGGGGTCAGAGAGGTTAGGTGGCCTGAGTTTGGTGTTCACTCACTCACTTTATTAAGGAGTCTTCTTATATTCTGGTCAGTTTTTGAATGAAATAGAGCCGAAATGGCGTGGACAAATTTACAGAAAATGCACGGAAAATAAATAAATAAAAGTAATTTAGAAAATAAATAAAAGTAATTTAGTCTTAGCTCAACACAGGCGTAACTAGTTAGAGCAAAAAAATTATACAGTGGTAAATAAAATTGAACAAAGGTATCGCTAGGATAAAATGGAGTGGATTGATAGCCAGGATAGCGCGGCTCAAGCTGCAGCAAAAATATGATATTTTAAAGAACTGTACAACATCACTAAAAAGCTTGTTGCCGAAAAATTAATAAAAATAGACTGGTGAAAATTAAAATGGTATACTTTTAATAACTTAGGAAAGAGGAACAACAGCTCAATAAGAATGAGCAACAATTTCGGGAAGATTTAAACCGATATCGTAATGGGGAATAATGGAAATTAGACTCTTCTAATAGATCAGAAGACATACCTGAAGGTTCCTTTTAAGGAAAAATTAGGATAAAAAATTATCCCAATTCAATGGATTTTGCAGAAAGAAAGGTCTTTCGAAGAATGAAAACAAGGCACTTTTGTCAAACGTTCAAAGAAGAGAGATGTGACGAACTTAATAACTGGAGAGACATTAGGCAACTCTGTTAAGCAAAACTCTTGCCCAAATTATAGTGAACATTGTTAAAGAGCCTGTTCGAAAGAGATTACAGAAGAAACAATGCTGGACATAAAAAGGCTGTATTATTTTACCCATTTTCTTTTTGTTTGCACTGTTGCTTTGAGGAATATAAAAAAAATCAAGCAGACGACATGAATCCCTAATTTAAATACATGCATTAAACTACCTAAATGAGTTAACATGGAATGCGACAACTGTAGACCAGCTCTTGAATATTTGAAATAAGGCGGTAGAAGTACTCAACTCTTTTGCATATCTAAGAAGTGTTTTAATATCATTTATATTTTGTTAAACATTGTAAAATCATTAATATTTGGTGCGATGTAATTAAGTATTAAAATGGAAATAAGAGAACGAAAATGGAAGTGGCTTGGCCACACTTAAAGGACACCAGAATGAAGGACTATTAAAAAGAAAGCTGTGGGCTTTCGGACATGTACAAACTCGTTACTTTGTAGGCCCCTCATAAAATTATTAGCAAACTAGCAGGCTCTCCGAGCTATCTTCTTTGGAGATAGATAAACTCATCACTGCAGATTGGTAAACGCATCACCAGAATTTTTGCCCCAAGGTGCTTGTTTCTAATGTGAAAGATTGCCAGTGATCTGTTACACTTCTTGTTTATGTAGTAATTTATTAAATTTAGAAAAAATTTTAAGAAAATTGATTTAAAATTTAACTTATATATTTACTTTACTTTATTACTTTATACTTTACTTTATTATTTTACTTTACATTAGAAATAATTTTTTTTTACATGGTTTTAGGTTAGCTTTTAATAGAATTTAGTGGAGTTCTGTTATACAAGGCAATGCATTGCATTTGCATTTAATACATCCAGACTTGAAGTTATCAAACCTTAGTGGTTTGAAAACATTTTATGGTCTGCATCTACTACTGGTTGCAGATAGGCAAGTGACCAGTTTAAAAATCTCGTCGGGCCTATCTTTAAATCTCGCAGTGATGAATTTGTACTATTTACAACGGCATTTATGCTAATTGGTGATGAGTTTACGTGTAATCCAAGATTTCAATTCGGTGCGGAAACGCGAGGTAGACTCCGAGGTACCTCGACGAAAACCATTGATAATTGTTAACGAAGAATTGGGAATAGTTTGGGAGTTTCTGGGAATAAAGACCATGTTTGAATCTTGTGGAAGCCCTATGCACCGCAAGCAGTTATAAGAAATAGGTCAAGATTGGCCTTTCGAGCTCTCAGTCTTCTGAGCCCCCCAGATCACTTCATTTGTACACTGTTCACTAGTACTAGTAGTAGTAGTGCAGTAAACAGTATACAAGTGCAACTGTACACCGGTACATTCTCATCTTTTTTTACGCAAATATGACAATTTTATTAAAGTTGTTAACTAATTTTGTAGGTTGACCCTTTAAAGACGGTGATTCCACAGACAGGTTTAAACATGATCACACAAATGTGCTGTATGATAGATTCAATATATCCGCAAAAAGCAGATGTAAATCTTATAGATCAAAATGCCGTAAGTTACTTTTTAAATAAAACTTTTTATACATAATAAAACTGAATTAATTTGATGTGGATTTTTAAGAGATATAAAGAAACTAAATAATTACCAACTGAACTAACATAAAATCTATTGCCCATTTATCCTAATCATCATCCAGCCTCAAGAGTCCACTGCTAAACATAGGCCTCCTCCTCCTGTTTCCAACCCCGTCTATCTTGCGCCGCTCTTATCCAGTTTTTATTGAGTTTTCTTAGATTGTCAGTCCACCTTGCAGGTGGTCGACCGACGCTTCTCTTGTCTTCCCTTGGCCCCCATTCCAATAACCTCTTTGTTCATCGCCCATCTGTCATTCTGGCTATGTGTTCTGCCCATCTCCATTTTAGTCTGGCTATCTTCTCGATGATGTCAGTCACTCCGGTTCTTCTCCTGATGTCTTCGTTGGTTATTCTGTCTCGCAGAGTTATTCGTAACATGGACCGCTCCATTCTTCTCTGCGTGACTCTCAGTTTGGTAGCTGCTGCTTTTGTTAAGGTAAGTGTTTCTGCTCCGTACGTCAAGACTGGGAGGACTCACTGATCAAATACCTTTCTCTTTAGGCATGTGGGCAGCTCACTTTTAAAAGTTTCCCTCAGTTTTCCAAATGCTGCCCACTCAAGGCCGATTCCTCTCTTCAGTTCATGAGGCTTGTTTATTCCTGCCAATCATAATTTCATGTCCCAGGTATTTATATCTATCTACGAGTTCTATTTCTTTCCCACCAATACTGATGTTCTGGTTGGGTACCAAATTGGTTATGATTTTTGTTTTCGAGATATTTATATTTAAACCTACATTTTCTGTAGCCACAACGAGTTCCTGTACCATCTCTCTTGCCCTACCTAGATCTTCAGCTGTTATAAGTATATCATCGGCGAAACATAAGTTGTTTAGATATTCTCCATCTATTTTATTCCCTTAGTCATCCAATCCAAATTCTTAAAAGCATATTCTAGCTCCGTATTAAAAAGTTTAGGTGACATTGGGTCTCCTTGTCTAACCCCCCTTGTCTAACTATTTTTATGCGATTACTGTTAGTATGTAATCTGACAGTGGTGGTTGCCTGCAGGTATATTTTGTATAATAATTTAGTATATCTATAATCTAGCCTGCATTCATTAAGCACCTGTAATATTTTGCTTAGCTCAACTGTGTCAAAGGCTTTGTGAAAATCGATAAATATTCGAACTAGAGGTTTATTGTAGTCCACTGCTTTCTCTATTAGGGTTTTTATACTTTGTAGACGGTCATTTGTTCCGTAACTTTTTCGGAATCCTGCCTGTTCCTAAGTCTTTAATTTTCTTTCCATTCTCTTAACCAGTATTCGCGTAAACAACTTGTTTCGTTTTTTCTACATTGTAGTTTCTTATGTATTTTCTTATTGCCTTTGTGATCGTCTTATTTATTTGATTTAACGCTTCTTTGCTTGTAGTGCTACCTACTTTCATTTGTCGCCTTAGTTATATAAGGGTTTTCGTAGGTTGACTCAGTTTTTCATCTTTTTTGCTTGTCGGACCATATTTAGTTTGAGCCTGTTGCATTGTGTTGACTATTTGTTTGTTCAATATATTGATGTCTGCTGTTGTTGCATCTTTCAATGAATTACCAATATATTTTTTGAACTCCTGAATGTTAGTTGGTTTTGTCCATTTCTTTGGTTGTTTCTTATTTATAATTTTAAGTCTTTCTTTTTCGGTTGATATCGTTATTTTAGCTCTTGCTAACCTATGATCACTGCTTGTACTGAACTGGTTTAGCACATTTACGTCTGTAAATAATTCTTTTTGTTTGTTAAGAAATAGTCAATTTCGTTCCTTGTTTTTCCATCAGGACTTTCCCATGTCCATCATCTGTGTATTTTCTTTTTAAAGAAGCTGTTTATTTGATAGAGATTGTTTTCTAAAAGGAAAGTGAGTAGTTGTTTGCCTCTATCATTTCTGCCTTCGCTTCCAAAATTTCCCAATATTATTTCAGATGGGTCTTCCTAAGTGCCTATTTTGGCATTGACATCACTACCTATTATTAAGAAGTGGCCAGGATTTTCCTTTATTGCACAGGATATTTGGTCGTAGAATATTTAGACTTCTTCGTCTGGATGTCCTGTAGTAGGGACGTACACTAGAATGAACTTTAGGATATCTGGCGTTTATTTTGATGTTTAAGTAGACCACTCTTGTTGAGATTTGGCCATTTATAATTTATTATTTTTTTTTTATTGATTTGTCGATCTACTGGTCAGTACTAGATAACATAAATACAGAAATTGGCGACAAATATTTTTACGTGTATATGTATGTATATTAGGGTGTATCATAATAAATACTCAAATAATGAATTTTAGAAATTCAAACTTTCAAGTTGATAAAAAGTTGCCTCTTACATTACTCTTTCATCGAAAAAAAGTTTTGTTACAATTAAAACATATTTAGGTCTCCCGGAATCGACTTAAACTTTAGAATTTTTTCTCAAAAACACGATTTCATCTTTTTTTTAATGAAAATTAAATTTTATATTTTTATTGTCAACTTAAAAAATATTAAGTACGTGATAACAGTGAACAATAATAATTAGGATAATATCTGTAACTAAGGATAAAGTCACCCGGAATCTTTATGAAAATCTCAATTGTAACAATGAAAAATCAATATCTTCTCTTTATTATGATTAACGATTAGGTGTTAAACCTGTTTGTTGCTTCTACTTAGGTTAGTAGGATTATTAGTATTCTATAACATAATTAATGAACAATAAATTACATATTCACTTATTTAAACTTTAGGATATTTTATGTTAAAACAATAAAAGACTGTTTTTGAGGTACGAAATTTATTAAAGAAATACAAAAGTTTACTTAAAGATTACAGATAAAAAATTCACAAAGAAAAATCTTTAAAATGGTTCTTTATTTCATCTTGAAGGATGTTGGTTGGCTAAATAAATTAAGTTAGCCTTCAAAGCCACAGGTATTGTAATGCTTCTTCGATCGGGAACCAAGGGAATTTGTTAGGACGAGTGTCAGATTGTAATTATAGTACTAGTACTAAGTTACTATTCAAAATAGAATGCTGTGATGTAATCCTAAATAAGTATGAAATCAATCTTACCTGTAATTTATTTTTGCAATACAGCTGATATGCGATACAGATGCGTACTGTCGCTTAGTTTTAAACTTAGGAAGATACTTTCTGTCCAATAATCTTGATCTTGTGAAGCCTTCTCGTTCTTGAACGCCACAAACGTGCTTAGAAGCTGCAGTAACTTCCTTTATACCTCGTTCTACCGCTTGAGTGTGAAGTGGTATTTTGAACTCTTTCTGTCTGTCGAGCCTTTTCTATCCGTTTGCCTGCCAAAGCTTTTATATGTTTTCGAGAGTCAAACAACATCCCTAAAAGGATGTGTTCTGGATGAGCCATAAAGGCGTTTCTTTGCAAGGAAGACTGAGCCACAGCCTTCAGTTTACTGTCTAAAAACTTGGTGCACTGCACGATGAAGAAAAAGTGTTGTGTGGATAATTTTAGGACGACATTTTATGGTAAACCATGAGGTAGCATAGACATTCGTGACGAACTCAGCAAGCTTTCTAAGTTGTGGGGTTGGTTCAATAGTTGAAATATACAGACGTAAGATTCGATTTGCTAATGTCAGCCACCGGGCGTGGGACAAGTTTCCGGGGTTTCTACTGGTCAACTCAGAGGGACATTCACCTTTGACTACAGCCTGACATATATCCCAAAGGTATTTATGGTCCGTACTTAAGGCTTTACTATCGACTTCTGGGAAGGTGCTATCTATTTTGTCATAATTAACAACCGGAAAGTCTTGGCAGTTGGTCAAACCTTTGCCTATTGGCCCTCTGAATGATGTTGGTCCTGTAGTTGGACCGTTAAGAGTAACAAAAACTTTCCTCAGAGGCAATTCGTTTAAGTACAACATACATATTACTACTTGGACCGGATGTTTCAATGGGCGTTCAAACAACAAAACTGCTCCTTGCGATGTTCCAGTATTCGTTGCCGTACCATCACATCCAAGCGCTTTGATATTTAAGTTATCAATGGATTTATCACTCATGTAACTTAATAATGATGATACTATATCTTTCCCAGATCCACTGTTTGGAGTTAACATGACCGACATAAGACATGACCGAAATATGCTGAACCTAGTTCCTCGACCAAATATATGTATTCTTCTTGTATGGTTTTACGGACAGATTTCCCACGTACAACTTCTTTGATTATGGTTTCATCCTTCCTACCATCGAAGTAAAGAGCAATTATTTCGTTTGTGCGAGAGGAATTAATACTTCGGCGGTACTTTAACCTATCACGAAAAATCTTGGACTTGTTAATAACTGCGGCTTGGTTTTCTGGTGATATGACATTCAAATCATTCTTCCATGGATTCATTATCAGAGTCACTACTAAGAATATCCACATTTATTAAATCAGGTGGAGTAGTTAGTTCCATATTCCTACTTAATTTAGATTGCAGGGACTTTTCTTTCCGTTTGTTTCGTTTTTTAATTTTTTTAGTCTCAGCTTGGTCAATACCTCCGATAATTATCATTCCATCACCATTTGACCCATTGCATTAAAATTTAGCACTATAATGATTATATTAGAATTTTTTTTACTGTTTCTGATTTATGTCAAACTTGAATTAAATATGAAAATTGTGATATATTTAGGGTAATTCCGGGTTACCTAAATAATTTAACTCAGAACCAAAATGTTTACTATGGACAAATTAAATGTAAAATACACATTTTTCAAAAACGTATTTTTTTACAAAAAATTATAATTTTTTTGTACATTCTGGGAGACTTAAATATTGTTGGAATTCAAAAAGATTTTTTTTTGGTAGATCTACGATGGTAGTAACAACTTTTTATCAACTTAAAAAATTAAATAATAAAAAAATTTTTGTGATACACCCTAATGTATATGTGTATGTATAGATGAAGCACCTAATTC